ACCTACTGTGTAGATAAAGCAAGTAATCTTGTATGGGGCAGCAGCACATGAAGACATATGCCAGGAACCATTTCCGAAGATTTCTTGTTACTTTGTCGGTTTTAGTAACTTTTCTAAGAGACACATCGTGTATCCCGTCCTGAAATCATGGAAATTCACTGGCTAAAAATAAAGTCTGTTGCAATCCTGTTATATTTACTAATTGCAAGCCATTCATGACAGTTGTGGAATTATTTGTATTTACTATTTGAAGTGCTAAGCTTGGAAAAGTAATGTGGTGTATTTAACAGGCCCTACTAGCTTTCCTACGGGTGATCTGGCTTACGGCTCCCCCAAACCACTTACAGGACTACAAACATGTCTGTATCCTTCATCTACATTACATAGAGGGGGAGGGCAATTCGTAGATTACAGAAGATAGCTAGGAAGGAAGATGTTCTATGCAGCTAACATGAATTGACAAGAACACTGAATTTCTGGAAGAATCAACAGGTACTTTCTGTACTTGCTGAAAAATTTATGATCCTGAAAAAAAACGAATGCAGCCATCATATCTAAAGACTATAAGTTTCAATATATTGCATGTGTGATCTTGGGTTTCTTGGGGTTATCTTGAAGGAAAATGGGTATGTATAGGGGTTTAGAAAAAATTACTGTGAGTTTTTGGGGAGGTGGGAGGGAAATCCTAAAGTTCCATTTTAAGGCAATGCATTCATGTAAATGGGCTGCAAACGTACCACAACGGACTACAAATTATATCTGCAACATTTCTGGTATCACAGTGCACACATTTTAACACACATTAGCAAACTATGCTGGTGTGAATGAGCCCTTAGTACTCTGGGAAGTGTTATGACTTGCCCCAACTCCTGTCACTTCTGCTGGACAGCTTGATCTGTATGTAAATGTGTAAGGCAAATAAATGATAAAATAATATCACTACATGAAATAAATGTTTAGGATGCATGCACATGAGACTATGTTGTCCTTCTAATGGTTAGCCAACAGCTAGCTAACAAAACTGATAGAAGCAGTGTTGTGTTTCATTCCAAAACTGACTTTAGCTCTGTGAATAGTTCACATTTGTGTGGTAAAACTGCAATACAATCGCATAAACTGAGGTTACAATATGCTTTTAGACATGTCTCTACAAACGCATACAATGAACATATTTCTTACAAACAGCTACCTACAATCACATTAAATGTATTGAAATGTGATCTAGCTATGCACTGGACTTTAACAAATACAATGGATAAGCTTGCAGGCATATGTGTATCAAAGGGAGAATAGAGGAGACCTTCATTGGTGTTCTTCAGGAAGCCAAATGGAACTGCAATGGTGGATGGGAAATGTTTATCTTAGCAAACAGAGACATTTCCTGCTCTATATTGATAAGGGCACAATTGAAGTGAATGTCCAATAGATGGCTCCCTACTGAACACAATGATGATATACAGAACAAAGGCATTGTATTGGGTGAGTGCAGAGCGGTGCATAGCTTCATAAAGGGGCCTTCACCCATTCATATATGGGTGGCTGTACACAGCTGTAGGACATCCGGGACACCAAAAATACGCAATATCTTTATGCTGCAAATGAGCTCATGTGCATGTAGCCTTCTAGTTATAAGACTAGATTTTTCATGACAGGTCATTGAAAACAAACAATTATTCATCCAATCTTTCTTGAGAATAAACCGCAGCCGTAACTGATCTGTGTAAATTCTAAAAGAAAAATTCCGCTTCTTCCTATTTACATTTTGCTTTTGATGAATAAGCACAGACTCCTGAATTACCCAGTCTTCCTTCTGACACAAACTCCTGGAGGAAAAGGGGAAATTGCTGTAATAAAGAGTTACAAAGCCCACCAAAACATAGAGACGTGTTTGGATTTTCTGCCGTGAATTCAGAATAAGCTGTGAGGGTACACAGCACTCTTTAATAGAGAGGCTGGTACAAATAACATTCTTTAATAAAGAAACACTTATATGTGAGCAACAAGACATAGCAGGCGGTGTGATTATACAGGGGGTAATTGCTCTCCTCCAATGGGCTGACCTTTAAACACTCGAGAGCAAGCAAAATGAAATTATTCACTGGTAATTGCACATCCCTGAAGTGCTACTCTTGTAGCTGCCTGGCAGCCGGTGTTTGAAGAGTAAAAAATGACACATCGTTGGAAATGCACGTGTCACGTTTTGTTTGCATAGAAGTAAACTGAGAGACCTGTGACAGGAGCAGAGTCTGGCTCATTAGAGCTGCCTCCTGGAAGCCGGTATCTGTGGCCCATGAAAAATGAGTGCAGCGTATTTTTCCTAAGTTCACCAACACGTCCGTGAATATTCTCATTTATCCAGATCATGGTGTAAGCTACTAGTTGGTTACATACAACAGGACTTGTCCTGTAATGTTGAAGATGTTTTGTAGCTTGTCCAAGCCACTTCTTTGGTTCTAATGGGTTTCAGAAAAATACTCCACCATTTATATCCACACAGGTAACAGACACATTGATCCAATCACTATGGACAGATAAATGGTACTGAGGAATGCAAAGACCTGTACACTGAGGAGATAAGGCAACCACTCAACAAACATATGGTCCAACACAGGAGGTCAAAACTCAGTGGTCTCCATACATCTGAAGGACTTGAGGACAACGAGGTGCACATATTGGTCAGAAAGGACAACTTGTTGTCAAGAAGCATCTATGTCAAACTGGAATAACCATCATCGAACAGGGTAGACGCCTCCCAACACCATCTGTGTACCACATATAATGCCACTTTATTATCTCTTTCCTGACATTTCAAATCAATTCTCACCTTCAGACATGTAAATTGAAGAATTCACCTTTATGATGTCTTCCTGATTCCATGTAACTAGAAGAGGATGGTTCCAGAATTTCACACCTTTTATCCTGTCCTAAGACAATGAAACTTGCCTTTCCATGGTTATTAGGTCAAGGTGCCCATGCTACCTGTTTTGATATAAATAAATTCCATGTAACTAGAAGAGGATGAATCCAGAATTTCACACCTTTTATCCTGTCCTAAGACAATGAAACTTGCCTTTCCATGGTTATTAGGTCAAGGTGCCAGTGCTACCAGTTTTGATATAAATGCTGGGGTATTTTCATGACACCCGTTACATAGTTAGTTTGGCTGAAAAAAGACAAAAGTCCATCCAGTTCAACCATAAAAAAAAAAGAAGTTATAATCCTATACCCACAGTTGATCCAGAGGAAGGCAAAAAAAACTAGCAAAGCATGATCCAATTTGGTCCTGCTGGAAAAACAAATCCTTCCTGATCCCCCAAGAGGCAATTGGATATTCCCTGGATCAACTTTACCTATAAATGTTAGTATCCAGTTATATTCTGTGTATCTAAGAAAGAATCCAGGCCTTTTTTAAGCAATCCACTGAGCTGGCCAGAACCAACTATTTTAGGGAGTCTATTCCACATTTTCAAAGCTCTTACTGTGAAGAAACCTTTCCGTGTTTCTAGATTACATTTCTTTTCCTCCAGACGTAATGAGTGCCCCCTTGTCCTCTGTGCTGACCTCAGGGTGAATAACTCTACACCGAGTTCACTATATGAACCACTGATGTATTTATACATGTTGATCATATCCCCCCTTAATCTCCTCTTCTCAAGAGAGAATACATTCAGTTCTTCTAATCTTTCCTCATAGCTGAGCTCCTCCATGCCTCTTATCAGTTTGGTTGCCCTTCTCTGTACTTTCTCCAGTTCCCCAATGTTCTTTTTGTGAATTGGTACCCAAAACTGAACTGCATATTCCAGATGAGGTTTTACTAATGATTTGTACCGGGGGGGTAATATGATATCTCTCTCTCTGGAGTCTATACCTCTTTTAATACAAGAGAGGATTTTGCTCGCTTTAGAAACCGTAGCTCGGCATTGCATGCCATTATTAAGCTAGAACCAAAGAAGTGGCTTGGAAAAGCTACAAAACATCTTCAATATTACAGAACATGTCCAGTTGAATGTGACCAACTGCTGTTGGGTTATACCTGCTTGCTTCCCAAATCTGTGTAGTCCTCAAGTTGTCATAATCACAGACATATTTATACATATTTTTAATACCTAGATGAAAATGGCATAGCTCCAGATGCCCACAGCCTACTGGCATATTTGTGTCATGGATGATCCCAGGTGGCTTCATGACAGTGTAGAGTGTCATCAAAGGACCGGCTGTAAATATCAAGGAGTGACAGCTGGCTCCCAAAGCTCCTTGCAAGATGGTTTAGAATCTACATTGACCTGTGCATGCCCTTGGTGCTGGGATGAATGGACTCCTGTGCACATACAGTACACAGGTGTTACATCATCTCAGCCATTCAAGTAGGCTGGAGACCCTGAACCCAGAATAAGGTGTTGGTGTTGATGAGGTAGCTTACGGATGTCGCATCACTGGAGAGGAGCTGAATAATGAAGGGTTTAGTTGTGCTTTAAAGCTGAACTCCTGGGCATAAAAAAATGTCCCTTGAAGAGGGTCCCCCTCCACACTGCAGGAGGGGTTACCTGCACATTTTGCCTAGGAGATGATGAATAAGACAATTTACTAATATTATTCTTTACTATCCCTGTGACCGTGCTCTCCTTTGATGTCCTGGGTTTGTGGGTTTGTGGAGGAGCTCACATATAATGTAGAACTCCTAGATCACCAATGTATGGTATGGTGTTAGAGAGCTGCTACTGTTCAGGCAGCAAAGAGAAGAGACTTGGGGGGACCAGACTTACAGCATGGAGGAAGCCTGTGGGAGCAAGGATTAAACCTTGCAGTGTGAAGGGTAACCCACTTCAAGGATATTGTTTTTTCCAGAGTTCATCTTTAACTTCCCTAGCGGTATTCCCGAGTGTAGCTCGGGGGGTAAAATGTCAGTACCAAAAGCGGTAACCCCGAGCTACACTCGGGCTTACCATGCGGCGTTGCTCAGGGAGTCCCTGCAGAGCTTACCTTGTCCTTCGCTCCCGCGATGTGTCCCCTGCAGCGTCCCCGGCCATCTCCTCCGGCTGATCCCGGCATCCGGCTTCTGTGTAACAGTCTCTGTGACGTCGGGGACGTACGGGCGCCGCCGGCGGCGGGAAATTTGAAAATTTAAAAAAAATGTCATTTTTTTTCAAAACAAATTTTACATAGTAAAACATTGCTGTTTCAACCCATTTCACATACATTTTGTCCCGAGTGCTTTGTCCTGTCCCCTGTCTGCATTTTGACTGTTCTTTCTGCCTGGAAACTTAGAAAAGTCCATGGCATCCAAAAAGCGTCCCCTTAGGTCAAAAGCAGTTTTAGACCGGCTAAAGAACAGCGATAGTAAATCAGAACCACTTGCAGAATTGAGTGATAATGATTCGTGAAGAAATTCGTCATCAGACACTGAAAACGATTTTGTGACTTTGCTCAGTGATGTGCGAACCTGGCGCTATATTTCAAATTTCAGTGTTTTTGGTTTGATTATATTTTTGAATTAAATGTATTATTATTATATTATTATTTTTTATGATTATTTATTAAATTATAATTTATGATTTTGTGTTTCAAATTTTATCATACCCGGGATGTTTAATAGACTCTTGTTCGGACAGATTTCAGTGAGTTATTCATAAATATTACAGCCTACAATAAAAAAACTACATATTTCCATGCAAAATAATGGTACCGCTTTCAGCACCAAAAATCTGAAATAATCATACTGCTAGGGAGGTTAATAATGATGGCCCATACATAGGTCAGAGACCTTATTTCTGACCATATTACTTTTTAAATTGAATAAATCTCGCCCTTAGGAACTAAAGGAAAAATAAATGTGCCATGCTGGAAATGTTCAAGCTATCCCTGGAGATAGAGACAGGCTGTCTGTAATAGAGAACTGTTAAACCACAATAAATATGACTTTATAATTCCAGAGCTGCTGTTTATCTCAGTCATGTACTTCAAATGTCTGTAGCCATGCTGACATCACAGTAGATGCTTCAGTGAAGATGGCAAATGGATCCTATTACACAGCTTGCTTCAATCAAGATGCGGTAAAACAGTTTATTTATTTACTTACTATGTTTGATGATCATGGGAACATATTACACTTTAATGTCTAATACATTGAAGTTAATTTATTTTAAAAAAAAAAAAATCCTAGTTGTATGACTAATCTGAGTTTCACAAAGGATAACTGGTACGTGTAAGGAAGTAGGGCCAACTCCACCCATAAAAGGTTATTTCAGTTTTTACAGTGCTTGAAAACCGAGCATCTGAGCCATTACAAAGCCAAATGATGGTATCACACTCGTGAGTTTGTTTTACTAAAAGCTGCTCATTTTGCATCGGAATATGCCCTTAGCTTAAAGTGGTTGTAAACCTCTGAAATGAAAAATGAACAAAGGATATCCCTCTATACTGTGTACTTGCCTCAATCCAATGCACAGAATGTTATGCATATCTGATCTCTGTTCCCTCTGCTAGATTCCCGTGTGATTACCCCATCTCTCTTCACTAAAAACTGTGTGCAAGGGGTGTGTGCCCTTTTCCTCCACTCAGGTTTCAGATTACACTCAGCTCTCCTCTCTGAGCTGTGCAGTGTGTGACATCAGATCCCCACCCCCTGAATTCTAGAGCTCATAGATCATATGTAAAATGTGTGCTTTAGGAAGTAGTAGAGAAGAGAATATTGCAGATAAACAGGTACCAATTATATGCAGCACTACCCCTTTAGAAGTTGCTGAAGTTTTGGGTCCCCCTATAGTCCTGCATAACCAGGCAACACATATATCCACACTGACTTGCATTCAGGAGTCAGTAACCAGTCATTAAGCTTGTTTTTTGGATTTTTTATTAGGCAGATTTCAACTTGGATGGGGTACGATTGGAAGGGTATGTGATGCCCAATGGAAAGAAGAAACCGAGGACAAATTGCTGAACTATGTACAAGTGGTCACAGCGAACAGCATATTCTGGAGAGCTAGCCAGCAAGACCCCAGATACTACTTATGCAGCTGTTCTGGGTGAATCCCTGTTTCCCAGTAGAGTGCCCCCTTCCCATATTTGGCCCAGGGGGTGCAGGTCTACTCACTCAGTGCTCCTGTACTACTGGTGGGTTGGTGTCTGCTACCAGGCCTTTTAGCTGGGCCACTCCTTCCCTGCCTTACAGATGGTCCTCTCTCTGGGGGTCGTGAAGGTCTGAGCTTTCCTCCTTCAAATTTCCTCTGCCTGTAGGTGAGCCCCTCTACATCTGAGCCCCCTACCAGTCTACTCTCTCCAGCCTCACTCCATCTCCAACTTCCACCCAAACTCCTCTCCTGCTGAGCAGGCTCAATTACTCTTAAAGGTTGTCCTGGCCCCTTGCCAAGCCTGCTGTTGGGGATTGGCCAGGATCCTCTAAAAGTACAGACTAGCCACTCCTCAGATCCACCTACTGCTTCTAGACCTTTCTCCAAAGTTCAAGAGACGGGGAAATTCTAAAGGACTGGTCTGCAGAGCCTCTCAGCTTTGACCACAATTTGACCCCTGCTAGCTATCACACCCAGGCTACTACTCAGTTCTCCTTGCTAACAATTGGAGTCTAGCTCCCCTAGCTGACTAGGAGGGTGCTACATATATAAGGATTTATTTCATCTCTGTGTATCAACTGAGGGAAGTCACTTCACTGGGTATATGTAACGGTTTACAACCACTTTAAAGAATGTAAAAAAATCACATTGCAAAGAATATCCAATCATGTGCAAGTTTAATAAAATGAACAGTATTTTTGCTTGCATGTGGGTGGATGCCTATTTGCCTTTAGTATATCAGCCAAGTGGATTATCAAAAATGCAAATTAAATGAGTTACTGGGTAGTCAGCTAGAAGGGTGTGACAATGTAATAAGGCCTTGTGACAGGAGAAATAGAGCGTAAACCTCCCAGTGGGGACACGGACAGCAATAACAACTTAGAAGAGGGTCTAATCCTTTCCTTTTCTTTCCAAAACATTTCTGTGCTGAGAGAGTGCTCACTGTGTGCTCCATCAAAAAAAGGAGTTTCACCTGTACATACACTCTAAGGGTACAGAAACACACCAGAAGCTCAACATCACTTATAGTATAACCGGAAGGAACATTTCTTTTTTAGTTTTGGATAGAGTGGAGGGGGAACTCCACTGGACACCTGTTTTGTCAGGTATGTGTTCCTGGAGATCTACCCTTTCTGTTTGTCCTGGTGACTGTTATCACTAAGGCTCTGTTCACACTTGTGCAACTTGTCATGCGACTTTGGACACATAAAGCTGCATGACAAGTTGCAACCCATTGTTTTCAATGGCACGCATTGAGATCTATGCAACGTAAAGTTGCAGCGACTTTGAAAAGATTCTTGCGCTACTTTGATGTGACTTTAATGTGAATTGAGTGCCAGAAAGTGTAAAGTCACTTTAAAAGTCACACTCCAAAGTCGTACTGGAAATCGCGCAACTTTGGAGTTGCGCAAGTGTGAACAGAAAAAAAATGTAATGTTACTGGCTGCAGAGCTCTTTTTTTTCACAAGATGGCAGTAGCAAGTGTACTCTATTCAGCTTGTGACTGATTTTAGGCTGGGGCACTCTGGGACATGTAGTCTGGAGGAGGATCTGAGCCATGGTCATCGCTGGGAAATCAACTACAATACCCCGTGACATCTGAGAGGGGGGGGGCTCTAATAAAGGAAAAGTCCAGGAAGGAACAGGGCAGTTGGGGAGGAGAGAGGATTGGAAAAGTGCTGTGCTGTTCTGTGCTGAGTTTGGCAGGACACTGTTGCATCCTGACTCAGGTGGCTGAACTGAGCTGAGTCCGCTATACAATGGGCTGCTCTGGTGCCTGTTTTGCAACGCCCATCTGTTACCCAACCCTCCACTGCTCGGCCGTTTGTGTGCTTGTCAAGCACATAAAACGGTAAGGATGTGAATAGCCCACCGAGTGCTCCACAGTGAATTGGGCTCTGCATTGTGACAGCCATGATTAGCTAAAGCAATGCACTTGACCACAGCACAATGCACTGTGAGAGCCATGATTGGCCAAAGTAACGGTGACTTTGGCCAATCAAGTCCACCCCCCACACTATATAAGGTTGCTTACACAGCAGCCTTGTGCAGTGTATTGCTATAGTTTAGTGGAATTGTAGGAGTGTAGTGTACTGTAGTGTGGTGTTGTGAAGAGCAGTGTAGTGGTGTCAGTGAAGTGTCAGTGTGTTTTACAGCACTTCTGCACCACTGCTGTTCCCATTTTTTTCTTCGTTAAATTTTTTTTTCTCAGCAGCAGCAGGTTCTGTTGCTGCATCATTAGTGTTCCCCCTTCTGTGTTCCTCCTGCATCAGCAGTGGCTTTTTTTTGCCACAGCAGTAGTACAAAAATTTAGGGCATAATTGCTGTTCCCCCTTCTGCATCACAGGTGCTCCTCCTTCTGTGTCAGCAGTGGTTCCTTTTTTTTTCGACTTTCTCATTTTTTTTTGTATATTTAATTTAATTTAGTTTTTTTGCCTCATCATCAGCAAAAATATTTAGGGCATAATTGCTATTCCCCTTCTACATCACTGGTGTTCCTCCTTCTGTGTCAGCAGTGGTTCCTTTTTTTTTTCCGGATTTTTGAATTTTTTTTCCAGCAGCAGCAAAAAAATGTTCTCCATATTTGCTGTTCCCTGAGTTGAAGGTGTTCTTCCTTCTGCGTCATCAGTGGGGCTTTTTTTGGCTTTCTTAATTTTTTTATATTGATTTTTTTTGCAGCAGCAGTAGAAAAAAAAATTCTCTATAATTGCTATACCCAATTTCTTCATTATAAAAAACAATAATGAAACAATTTATAGTGCACCAAGCAAAAAAGTAATGCACCCAAGCACCAAATTCCCATCCCACACTCTAAAATAAAAAGTTATAAACATCACCAAAAACAAATCTGTATCTTGTCCAAAATGCCAACAAGGAGAGGCAGACTTTTACAGGCAGCTAAAAGAGGGCAAGCAGCCTCTGTGTCCACAGTGAAATGTGATGGTCGTGGACATGGTGCATCCTCTGCAGGGCACGCTTGCCTTTTTTTTCCGGTGCTGACCATGTTATTGAGCAACAACATGCAGAAGAGGTGGTAGATTGGAAAACTAAGCAATCCTCATCCTCCTCATCTTTTGTCACCCAGGCTCATGCTAGTTCACCTTCCACCACAGCTGCCTAAGCGGACTATTCCACAGGCTTTTTGTCCACAGCTACTCCCTCTGTAGCCCCACCATCATGCACAAAGGAGTCAGCTGAATCATTATAACATAGTACCAGTCCCATGATGCTGGAGAATGCACAGCAAGTTCAATGCTCTGATGTTGGTTCCCAGGATGGTCCCCCCCATCCACATGCTCAGCTAAATGCTAGCTTGGCCAGATTGCTAGTTTTACAACTGCTGCCTTTCCATCTGGTGGACTCTGTCCCCTTCCATGAATTTGTGGAATGTGCTGTACCATAGTGGCAGGTTCTGAAAAGAAATTTCTTTTTAATTAAGGCAATTGCAGCTCTGTACTATCATGTGGAAGGCAATGTTTTGGCCTAGTTGGACAGTGCGGTCAGCACCAAGGCCCACGTTACTGCTGACATGTGGTCCAGCAGCCATTGTCAGGGACATTACATTTCCTTCACAGCGCACTGGGAGTGCTGGAGTTTGTTCTGCCACCACGCCTCCAAACAGCTGGTGGTGATTCTGCCACATCTGTGTGCTCCACCCCTCCTCTTCCTCTTCCTCTATGACCTCTTCTGCTGAATTATCCTCTGAACCACCCCTTAAGCGTTCAAGGGGCTACGCAAACAGTGAGGCTAAAAGATGCCATGTGGTGCTTCAGCTGTGCTGTCTAGGGAACAGGAGCCACACTGGTACAGAGGTTCTGTCAGCTCTGCTGGGGCAGGCTTAGAGGTGGTTGATGCCACAGCAGGTTGAGCCAGGAATGGTTGTATGTGACAATGGCACCAACCTTCTCTCTGCCCTCCGACAGGGAATCTTGACACATGTTCCATACTTGGCACATGGATTTGGTGGTGCAGTGTTTCTTGACCAGGTACCCAGGCTTACAAGATCTTTTAAGGCAGGCAACTGGAATTCAACCTGCCCACCTATCGCCTCATTTATGACATGCAGGTAGAACTCAACATTGGCAATGCTGCAGTGGCTGCACACACAACATAGGGCCATCAATGAGCACCTGTGTGAGTACGGCACAAGTACAGCCTCAGGGGAGATTGGCTTCTTTTTGCCACTCCAGTGGCTGCTGAAAAAGGATTTCATGCACTCTCTTGTCACCATTTGAGGAGGCCACAAGAATGATGATCTGCGACAATGCATTCATCACTGACACTATCCCTCTAGTCTTCCTGCTGGAGCACACGCTGTGTGGATCTGGACAAAGCACTTGAGGCAGAACAGCAAGAGAAAGAGGAGGACTTCCTTTACTCTCAAGGCCCCCTTTATGCAGATGCCATTCCTGTGGGGCCACAGAACACAGGAGGAGGAAGAGGAGAAGGATTGTGGCAGCATGAAAGTAGCAGATAACATATGACAGTCTTCAAAGGGATGGCTTTCAGTCCCCAGAAACACATCCAGGAGTTGTACGTGTTTGGGAGGAGGTAGTTTGTGACAGTGTCATCCTCAGTGACCCAGAGGACTCAGAACCTCATGCCTCCTCAAACTTACGCTGCATGGGCTCCCTGATTCTGCAAAGCCTACGAAAGGACCAGAGCATTCGTGGTATCAAGGAGAGGGATCAATACTGGTTGGCAACCCTTCTTGATCCACTTTAAATGGGTAAAATTGCAGAGCTCATCCTGCCTTCACAGAGGGAGCTGAGGATGAAACGTCTTGGAGGATGCCTTGAAGAAAAATGTGTGTAACACCTTTCCAGATACTGGGAGGTTACCATTTCCTGGACAACATGTGTCTGAGGCTTCGTTCGGTCAACAGAAAAGCGGTGGAGAAAGTGGTCGACTGACCGATGATTTTAAATGATTCTTTAGTCCTCAGCGCCAAGGGCTGTAAGGTTTAACCACCTCTCAGCAGCATCTGCATTATATGGTGCAAGATTTCTAGAGGCAAGAGCAGACTTGGAGACCTTTCCAACTGAGGATCCACTGAGTTAATGGGTCTTGAGGATGGATCACTGGCCAGAACTGGATCAATATGCAACTGAGCTACTGGCTTGTCCTGCATCCAGCGTGTTTTCTGAACAGACATTCAGTGCTGCCGGAGGTTTTGTGATGGATAAAAGAGTGCGTCTGTCCACAGACTCTGTTGACAGGCTGAAATTTATCAAAGTTACTCAGTCCTGGATCAACAGCAGTTAACAAGCCCCTGATGCTGATGTACAGTATGATTAAATATGTTAGGGATCTGGGATCCCTTGAAGACTGCCTATGCTGCCTATCCTATTCCTGATTTTGCTAGCTTCCAACAATATTTGACAGGTGCATGTAATTTCCATTGTTTTAAAAATTGCTTCTAGTTTTTAAAAATTCTTAACAATTTTTAACAGCAGGGCCCATTACTGTGCTCATAAAAAATAACTGTGAAGGGTTAGAGTGTTCAGGCACCACCAACACACAAGGTTCAATTTTTCTGCACCTGTTTGACAGGTGCACCTAATTTCAATTTTTTTCTAATTTTTAACAATTTTAACAGCAGGGTCCATTCCTGCGCTCACAAAGAGTAATTGTGAGGGATTACAGTGTTCAGGCACCACCAACACCCACCCGCATGTGACAGGTGCATGTCATTTAATTTTTTTTTTCACATTTTTAACAGTTATTAACAATTTTTTACAGCAGGGCCCATTCCTGCGCCCAGGAAGAGTAACTCTGAGGGGTTATAATGTTCAAACACCACCAACACCCAAGGCCAATTTTTCTGCACCTGTTTGATGGGTGCATCCAATTTAAATTTTTTTACAATTTTTTTACAATTTTTAACAATTTTTAACAGCATGGCCCATTCTTGCACTAACCAAGAGAAAAATGTGAGGGGTTACAGTGTTCAGGAACCATCACACTTAAGGCCCAATTTTTTCGCACCTGGGGGCTGGCACCACCAACTGTTCTCCCACCAAACACCCCACAATGCACTGCACTCTCACAATGCACAGTCCCCACCCCACACTAAATAGGCTGCTTACACTGCTGAAGACAGAAGGGAGAATACTCCCTGAATAAAATAAATAAATAATAATAATGAAAAAAATAATATAAAAAAACCCCAAATTAAAATAAAACAAAAAGAAACAGTGTGGCCCCCCCCCCCCCCCCAATCCATACCAGGCCCTTTAGGTCTGGTCAGAATGTTAGGAAGGACCCCACAGTAAAAAAATCCCCCCAAAAAGTGTGTGAGTTCTTTTAAGGGGAACCCCACATCCCAAAAATGGGGGGGGGGGGAGAGTGCATGGGGTTCCCCCTAAAAGCCATACCAGGCCTTTTAGGCTTGGTAGGAGTTTTAAGGCAAACCTCACCCCCAAAAAATGGGGGGGGAAGCAGGAAGCATGAGGTCCCTCCCTGAAATTCCTTTCAGACCCTTGATCTGAGCACAGGTCTGGCAGGGCAGGAAAAGGGGGGGGGGGGGGGGGACGATCGAGCCTGCGGCTTACCAGGTCACATGGGGACAAGGGCCTCTTCCCCACAACTCTGGCCCTGTGGTTGTGGGTGTCTGTGAGTAGAGGGGCATATTAGCATCAGGGTACCCCTTTAAAAAAATTTTTTTTTTACTTTAAGCAATGAAAAAAGACTGCCCCTTTAAAAATGGTACTTTTTGATTTTTTTCTTTAACTAATTAATTTCCCTCAGGGCAATACATAAGTCCTCATATACCTTTTATGGCCAATAACTTGCATATAAGCCTTCAAAATGGGCACTTTAGAATTTACAAGTTCGAGTCCCATAGACTCGCATTGAGTTCAAAGTTTGCAGTTGAACGTCCATTAGGTTAGAACGTTCACCGGTGAGCCAAACACGGGGGTGTTCGGCTCATCACTACTCCCAGGTATAATACTGTGACACTCATTCTACAGACATACATTTATGTCCCTGTGCGCCAACATCTCTAAAGGGCCCCACTGTAGCCAGCAGAAGATTCACATCAGAGACTATAGATCACTTTATCCTGAGGGCAGATTTGCATTTAATTCTGAGCCTTTATCTTTCAGGCCTAAACCTAGCACCTTTGTCTGAGAGCTGACATAGTTGATCATGTTACCTGGGGCAAGGCATCTCATTTGGAGAGCTACTGTTTATGCCATTGGGGTCAGAGTATATGCTGTAATCTAAAGCCCCTGTAGGAGAAACTGTGAAGCTGATTGTGCACTCACTATTATGTTTGTCCTGGCTGACTTTAATATGTCAATATACTCTGTGACAGTTTTATGACTTTATCCTATTATTCTTTTATTGAGTTGAGTCCAGTTCCTGTGTGCTTGCTGAGATTTACAGAAAGGTATACTGGTGGTGTCAGGCTGAGGTCTCACATAAAGCTGGATAAGAGCAGAGGACGCAAATCAACCAGCGTCTCCTGCGGTGGTAGCTCTACTAAAATCTCAAATTTTGAATGGTCACCAAAATGTGAATGTGGGGGTGGGGCTCGGGGTGGGAATTTTCAATGGCAACTCTGGTAACTAACAGGGATTTCTTCACTTTAAGGAATTTTCTCTTACTTACTGTTGTGGCTATAAGACAGGAAATAAAGCCCTCCTGATTGGGATGAAGGGCATTGTACACAGCAATTCAAAATTTCCCTACCACACTCTCCAGCTATACATGTTCCATATATCAGATAGAGACCATGCTCTGCAGATATGCCTTTATGCACCAATGTGGTTTTATATACATTTGCCAATGTACTCAGCGCAAACCTATTTTTTTAACCTCCTACCCCTCGGGTGTAGAAACCTTAATAAAGGGATGCTAGGGCTGGGCAGAAAGGGGTAACGTAAGATGGTGAAACAGTTTAACATGCCTTTTTGTGCTGACTGGCCAGAGAACATGCTGGTGGGTATTTTGTATTGTTTGGTATATTGCCCTAACCATGTGAAGATTTCATGTTTTGCTCATTTTAAATTGATCTGAACAGCTACCATTTTTGCTTTTTTGAATACAGTGCAGACACCAGGGGCGGACTGACAACTCATGGGGCCCCTGGGCAATAGGGGATCATGGGGCTCCTGTGTCCTTGCCCAAACTCAAAAAACCTATGAAAAAGGTACCAGGGGCATCTCATGGGGCCCCCTACTGACCTGGGCCCTCGGGCAGTTTCCAAATGGTCAGTCTGCCCCTGGCAGACACACATACTTAGGGCCTTCAGCTGCCATTGAGCAATGTTGGGCTATACCTGTAAGGAGGAAGGAATTGCTTTATACATCCCATAGCTTGGAAATCAGATAGTTTTAGTTGGGGGCCACACTTTATCATTCAGCAAATAAGGGGGAATAGGCTGCTGCGCCCAGATGTGACATTTGGACATAAATGGCCGCTTCTAACTGAACAATTAGCTGCGGCCATTGGGTATGTGGCCAGAAACATAGTCAGTACCTAGGGCCTGTCAGAATCCCTAAATGCATGTACTGTAACCGCTTGGATGAGTGCTTACATGTGAACAGTGGCAATGCCGGCCATTGATTTGTACAGGGTGCAATTTGGCCACACCGCTGCTGGCTGTGGCTGTTCGCATACACTATATGCATGGGGATGGTTTCTCTGCTGCAAAGAATATGCAAGCCCCTTGTGAATGTGCCCTTATAGAGAAAAGATGTGTTGGCAGCACACCGACATGCCTGTTTTAAAGTGCAAAGCTCTTCTTTATTGCATGATCACATAGAAAGACTGCAAAGGGACCCTTCATCAGACATGAATTGTTGTGAGTCGTTGTAGCACCCTTTGGTTGATTCCATTATGGTGTATGCAAGGAATATACTCCTTAGGCCCTCAACGAGATGCCTTGATGTAGCAATGTGGATTTACATGTAATGTCCACACTGTCCTGCACCTTTACCTTTTTTGCTATTTTTAAATTGGTCAAAATTGTTTCTTAATGGGAGTCATAGAGACAAAAAAGGCACAAAAAAGGAGATAAAATCTCCCAAATCAGATCACAGTAAAAATAATAAACTTTAAAAAAAATTAGCCACTCTGTCCAAAGCTTAAAAACGTGGCTGGAGTTTGGTTTTAATTAAAAAAAAATGAAAAATAAGCAGACATTATATACAAAGTCAAACTGCTTGAACCTCTAGGTATCCAAGAACGGTCGCAGCCTTGAAGGGAAATTTTGGTACACCATTCAGTTTTGGCAAAGTATACCACCATGCTCTTTACACTATGAAAACAGGATCTCCGCTTTTACATCCCAGGCCTCCATGAATCCAGCGCTTTGCCTTCCTCCATCATTAGAACATAAGCAGAGCTTAGAGAAATAGTTATTAATGCAGCAGCCATGAATTTTTTATAGGTTCCTGAGGAACGGCTCCCAGCGGCCCTGTTAGCGCCAGGGCCCGTCACTCTGGGCCTCCAAGCCCCCCGGGCTGTACCGTATTAGTCTGCTCCCTCGTCGGCCTCCTGGGTTTCAATTAACGGAGCGCTTGTAAGGGCAGCTCTTTTCACGGCTCGTTTTATTTCAACATGTTTTTTTAATTTCAGACTTGACGGCTGGAGTCAGACAGGGTGCTCCGTCACCGTGACTCTCTCCATAAGGGATCAGAGACATGTCAAATTGTACAAGATGACCTCTGTACAACTGCATTTCATATGCTGGGGTTACTTAGCTATGCCACAAGTTTTTTTTTATTTTTTTTTTAAACTAGACAAAAAAATAGATATTTGAAATGACATACAAATAAAATAAATAGGAAGCATTTAGTGGGATGGTCAGGATAAAACAAATGAAAACATGGAAAGTCTACATACTGCAGAGGAGAGCTTAGTGCTTTTTCGGTATACAGATCTAAGTATATATTACCACTCATTTCAGCCTTATTCAATAAAGAGTTTTTATTCGTAATGGGAAACTAGAGTTGCTTTGGCCAAATGTAATTTATTGTGTTTTTTTTCTTTTCCTTTAAGTTTGAAGTTCAATTTTCTTAAAGTTGAACTCCAAGCAGAAATGTTATTCCTTATATAAATAGTTTCTTTATTACCTTTACTAAATATCTTCATGTTATTCCAAGCCCCTAAGTAGTCCCCAATTAAATAAAAAATGACAAGGTCTCATTCTCCTCTGTATTTGTTTCTTTAAAACGGAGGATATAAGGCCTATTCTTTCCATGGCTACCAGTCCCCAATGTACTTCCTTTTTAAGTGAGCAACAACATAATTACCATAATTACGTTACCACTTGCTGTAGTGGGAAGACCTCGGAGTCTCGGTCTCTTGCTTTGACCCCCCCCCCCCAAGACATTGGATTATTTGATTGAAAGATCAAGAGCCTCCTGATCTGTCATGTCCATCCCCACTGAGAACTACAATCTCATCCTCCCATAATCATGGCCACCCAAAATATTGTCCATTAAGAGCACGACTCCCATCACATTATGGGCATTGTGGATTGTTTCAGTGGTGACACACAGTCAGTTGAAGTGAGGTCACCAATTGTTTATTATTATACAGGATTTATATAGCGCCAACAGTTTGCCCAGCACTTTACTATATAAAGGGAAACAATACAGCAACAATACAAATTGATAACAAGAGGGTTAGGAAGGCCCTGCTCCTGGGAACTTACATTCTAATAGGGAGGGGTTGGTGGAACAAAAGGTAATAATTGTGGGAGATGGACTGATGGGAGAAATAAAAGATTTGGTTGTTAGCTGTGGCAGGATAGGCTTCCCTGAAGCGATGAGTTTTCAGGGATCGTTTAAAAGGTGGACAGAGGAGAAGATAGCCGGACAAATTGGAGTAGGGAGTTCCAGAGGATGGGAGAGGCTCTGGAGAAGTTCTGTGAGCGCTAGAGAGCAGGAAGTCTTCAGAGGAGCGGAGAGGGCGGTTTGGGTAATATCTGGAGACAAGATTGGTGATATAGCTATTGTTAGTGTTTTGAATTTTATTCGTTGGGCAATGGGAAGCCAGTGGAGGGATTGGCAGAGAGGGGTGGCGGACACTGAACGGTTCGTAGGGTGGACGAGTCTGGCAGCAGCATTCATGATAGACTGAAGAGGGGATAGCCTGCAAAGAGGTGGCCTGTGAGGAGGGAGTTGAGCGATAACAAGGAAGTGACCAAGTTGCTTAGTGGTTACAATGGTTAAAAAGGAGCACATTTTGGAGATGTTACGGAGATGAATTCTTCAAGATTTGGACAGCGATTGGATTTAGAGCTGAAAGGACAGGTCATAGTCCAGGATTACACCTAGTACCTGGCATGAGAGGAGGGTTTGATAGTTGTATTGTTGATCTTCATGGAGAAATAGAAGTCAGGGGAGGGAGCATGGGCAGGAGAGAATATTATGAGCTCAGAGTTTTAGAAAGATTGACTTTGAGGAGGTGGTGACACATCCATGCGGATATGTCAGTTAAAAAATTAGTAATGCGAGAGGAGACTGAAGAAGTGAGGTGAGGAGTAGAGAGATAGACTTGTGTGCCATCAGCATAGAGATGGTACCGGAAGCCATAGGAGTTTATCAAGTAACCAAGGGAGGATGTGTAGATGGAGAAGAGGAGGGGTCCAAGGACAGAACCTTGGGGGACCCCTACAGAAAGAGGAAGTGAAAAGGAGGAGACAGAGTTATAGGTAACACTGAAGGAGTGCTGTAATAGGTAGGAGGAGAGCAGAGTCTTGAAGGCTAAAAGAGTGGAGTTTTTCGAGGGGATGGTCAACAGTATCAAAGGTTGCAAAGGTCTAGTAGTATGAGTATGTAGTTTTAGCTGGTTAGTTAGTGAGATTTAGTAGGGTAGTTTCAGTGGTGTGGAGTGAAGGTTGTTGTCAGTAAGATAGGAATTATGATGGTTGTAGACTAAGTGTTATAAAAGTTTAGAGGTGAATGGGAGCAATGACATGGGTCTTAAGTTGTTCAGGCTGGTTGGGTCCAGTGAGGGCTTTTTAAGTAAGGGGGTGATCAGCATATGTTTTAGAGGGGAGGGCAAGGTGCCAGTAGATAGGGAGAGATTGAAGATGTGAATGAGGGAACATAGGATGGAAGAAGTGGGTGACTGCATTAGCTGTGAGGGAATGTGGTCCAGCAGACAGGTGGTAAGGTAGACTTCAGAGAAAACTTTAGCAATCTCTTCAGTAGTAGCAAGGTCAAAACAGGAAACCGCAGAGAGTGGTTTTGTACAGAGTATGTTTAGTGGGATAGATATCTGTGCAGTGGAGATGTCCTTGCGAAATGCATCGGTAGCACCCTCTAGTGTGCTACTAGAATAATGTAGTGTATTGAAAGAAAAATCATTGTGTATGACTCATGGTAACTGTGCGAGTCTGTGATTGAGGTCGGGTTATTGCAGGTCAGCTGGATGACTTAACAGGTTGTGGCTCTATCGCCTCCTGACTCTGGAGGACCAAGAACCTTCCAGAAGTCAGTAAACAGGAAGGGGTGGAGACCCTAATCTGCATGTTTATGGGAGTCCAGCCAATCCCAGGTTTGCAGGCCCTGGTAGAGTGGTGGACTGGCTAATAAATATGGGAAAGTCAGGCTGACAGAGGAGTCAGGTGGAAGATGGAGTGCTGAGGAGACTGGCAGTGCCTGGGAGGTGTCCCCTCTGGCCTCTGGGCTGGACTCGGGTTGGCTCGGAGGATACATTCAGCAGTGAGGTGTGAATGGGATGGAGACCTGGAGCAGCAGGGGGCAAAGAGGACAGAGTGAGTACAGCAGCACTCTCTGGAATCTACAAGGGGAAAGATTGCCACATGTAGCAAGATTTCTAAGGACAGTGCTGGGCTCAATCTTTTATCCTTGTCCCAGGATATCTTCTGAGAAGCCAGGAGGGCTGGGGGTGTTTGCAAGCTGTGGAGCTGGGGGGCTGCTCTACAGAGGGAGAGAAGATATCCATGAATGTAGTTATGAGAAGATAAGCTGATTTTTGAGGGGCTGCTAGTTTCTTACCCATAAAGACCTATTGCTACTGGTCCGCAACGACTGACAGCTTTCATGAAAAAAAAAAACAGTCCCGGATCTGCCCTTGTGCATAGGAAGGAAGTTGTCCCTCCTTCATTGATTAAAGCCAGCTGGGCATCCCATAGCCCCTATTTCCCTATCCAAGTTAATTTTCCCTAATAAGACCAAGCCCACAGACTGGTTACTGTCTCTTGGATGCAAGTCTTTGTGAGAAATAGCTGTTTCCTGGCTGTGCAGACAGAGCTTAGGGGTACTCACAACACAGGAGGGTAGCGCTACACATCAATTTTGTTTTTGAAGTGATTGGCAAAACGTGAGCAGTGAGTGAGTTACTGGGTGGAGGCGGTGGTGGAGCAAGTAGAAAGTTAAAAGTATAGAAGAGACAATGAGGACTGCATGACAGAGTATTAATGAGAGTGAAAAAGTAGGCTTGTTTGGCAGCATGGAGGGAGGAATTGTATTTTAGGAAGGCAGATTTATATAGGGTGAATGTTTTCTGGGATTTGTTGGATGAGAATTAACTGTTGTAAGCTGAAGTAGCCAGGTTAGGCCATGAAAGGAGAGAGATTTTGTGAGAGAGGTGGTCAGTTGCAGAGTAGAAATGTGATGAATTGAAGAGGAAAAGGTGTCTACAGGTAATTGTTTGCTACTTGGAGAGATGGATGGTGGAAGACAAGGATCCTGTGAAAGTGATGAGGTTGTAATCAGAGAGAGGAAAGGGGGTGTTGATGAGGTAGCCAGGCGTGCAGAGATAAGAAAACACATGGTCAAGGGTATTACCATCAGAGAGAGTGAAGGACAGTGTCCATTTTATTAGGTCGAGGTTAAATTGAAAAGTTGAGATGTAGTTGGGCTATTAACATTAATGCGAATGTTAAAATCACCAAGAATGATAGTGGATATTTCAGAGCAGAGAAAGTAGGGTAGCCAGGCAAAGAAATCATCAAAGAAGCGTGATACTGGTCCAGGAGGCCAATAGATCACTGCAATCGTTACAGAAATGGGAGAAAACAGACGAATGCAGTGAGTCTCAAAATAAGAGGATAGAGAAGGCAGAGAAGAGAGTACTTGAAATTGTTTGATTTCTTCTTTGTGTGCCCGGGCATTGCTGCATCTTTTGTGAATGAGAACAAGGATGCTATGGATTACAAAAAGGTACAGTTTAAAAAGCCTAGGTACTGCGCCATGAGGGATTTTTTTTATTTTTACACTGTTTCTTTACATTTTATTTTGGTCACTTTTATTGCTGTCACAAGGATGGATTTTAAACATCCCTTATGACAGCCATAGGCAGTGACAGGTATTCTTTATGACGAGATCTGGGGTCTATTAGACCCCAGATGACTCCTCTGACCTTAAAAGCATTTGATCACACCAAAAACGGTGTGATCATATGCTTTTCCATGTTAAAAATTGCACTGTTTACATCTGGGGAATCCAGGTGTAACGAAAATGCTTGTCACTTTCCTACACCATAGAGTTCATCGGTGTCCTCAAAAAGCACCAGTGGGACAGAGAACCTGGAGAGGCAATAGTGGGGGTCTGTAAAAGCAATTTAGAGGCTAACTAGCCACTAGGATGGATTTTACAGAGAAATCCAGCAGCTGCAGGCATCATTCCAGTATACAACTTGAAAGCCGCAACATATACAGTATGTACGTTTAGCAGTCTTCAAGTGGATATCGTGGGGTGCCTACTATTCACAACAAAGAACCCATGTTGGTTGGTGCACTGCACTAGACATTCCTGTCCCACTCTACTGCTTTGTAGTATCATGTGATTTCCTTTGCTAGTGTATCATGCTGTGACACTAGGATCTCTTTCATATATGTTTTACCTGGGCACTCAATTCACAGTCCTTTACTGTGCTTTTATTCCCTGTTTCCTTTACTCTTGTAAAATTTGAAAAACCCAATAAAACAATTTATGAAATAAAAAAAATGAAAAAAAAACTAAAAGGGTTGTAACGTATTGAGTAGCAGGAAGTGATGGTCAAAATTCATCTGTTTCCCGGAGATATTGGGATATTTATATTAGATCTAATTATATAAAACTTGTATTTTAAATATGCAGGTCATTAGAGGTTTTCTAACAAAAATGATGGAAGTAGCTGTTTGCTGGGGCAATGTCTCTCTAATTGAATTTTCATACAGCTCTGTGTGAACGAGACAGACAGGAGGGAGGCAGTTCATTTAGTTGGTGTGTGTTGATTTTAGCTTGAGCTACTGAACTCAGCAAACAATAGGGTGGTTACAATAAGGCTGATAAATATTTGATAAAGAGCCTAAAGCTGGGAATTTTATATCTAATATAAAAAAATATTATATCTAATATACACAGATGTTCTGGTAGATCATAGACTTAATAACAGCATGCAATCACAAGCAGTTTTTAGAACAAGCAAGATACTTTCTTGAACATCTGAGAGAGACATAACCTTGCCCCTGTACAAATCATTCATAAGATATAATTTTGAATATGAAGGCGAGTTTGAATATGAAGGTGCCAGTTCACAAGAAGGTTGAAGAGTACAGAGAAAGGCAACTAAAGTAATAAGGGGCATGGGGGAGCTCAGAATGAAGAAAGAATAACTGAAATGAATGTATACTGCCTATATCTGTCCATGGCAGAAGGAGGTTATGTAATGAGTGCTTCACAATCCCAGCACACTGACCAAGCTGTCACCTGCAGCTCTCAGTCAAGGCTTTTGATTGGTACCAGCTGGATTGGCTTCCCTATCATGCGAACGCTGTGAGAACCAATCACAACGGCCATATGATACTGAAGCATTGCCACCTCCCAGGCATTAAAGCTCACCTACAGGGCGAAAGACTGAGGACATCTAATGGCACCTCCAGATTAAAAGGACTCCAGAAAATAAATCACTTTTTAAAATGTGTTGGTTTTCAATAGATTATGTCCAATACCACTTTGTGGACTTATCGCTTTTATTTACAATTTACATTGTTACTAAGCTCCAGGAGTACAGTTATCACTCTACTTCTGGAACGCCAAAATGAGACCTTCAGGTCCCAGATCTTGCAGATACAAAGTCAACTGCATACCCTCATCCCACCCCTCCTTTCCTTAGATACCTGTGTGGCCAGCAGAGTTCGATCTTAAATCCATGTATGCCCTTCAGAGTTCACCATTAAATCCACATTTGTCAGAGTCTTCCCTTACATTCATGTATGCCCAGCAGAGGCCTTCCTTACAAAAATGTATGCCCAGCAGAGTCCACTCTTACACCACTGTATACCCAGCAGAGTCCACTCTTACACCAATGTCTGCCCAGCAGAGACCTCCATTACATCTATGCATGCCCAGCAGAGTCATCCCTTACACCAATGTATGCCCAGCAGAGGCCTTCCTTACAAAAATGTATGCCCAGAAGAGTCCACTCTTACAACAATGTATGTCCAGCAGAGTCCACTCTTACACCAATGTCTGCCCAGCAGAGAACTCCCTTACATCTATGTATGCCCAGCAGAGTCATCCCTTACATCCATGTATGCCCAGCAGAGGCCTTCCTTACAAAAATGTATGCCCAGAAGAGTCCACTCTTACACCAATGTGTGTCCAGCAGAGTCCACTCTTACACCAATGTATGCTCAGCAGAGTCCACTCTTACACCAATGTGTGTCCAGCAGAGTCCACTCTTACACCAATGTATGCTCAGCAGAGTCCACTCTTACACCAATGTATGCTCAGCAGAGTCCACTCTTACACCAATGTATGCTCAGCAGAGTCCACTCTTACACCAATGTGTGCTCAGCAGAGTCCACTCTTACACCAATGTATGCTCAGCAAAGTCCACTCTTACACCAATGTATGTCCAGCAGAGACCTCCCTTACATCTATTTATGCCCAGCAGAGTCCTCACTTACATCCATGTATGCCCAGCAAAGTTCCCCCTTACATCTAGGTTTGCCCAGCAGAGTTCCCCTTTACATCTATGTATGTCTAGCAGAGTCCCCCTTTACATCCAAATGTGCCCAACTGAGTCCCCCCTTACCTTTTAGGGTGCAGAGCAGCAGGGTGAAAGCTGGGAGGTCGAGCAGGTCCAAACAGAGGAAGTCTTGTCCTCTTGTAAATGCAGGGGCTGGGTCAACATGCCAACCATGACAGAGGTAATTGGAAAATCTGCATTGGGGTCTGGGGCTGGCTGACTGACTAGCTGGCTCATAGTGTACATGCCAATTTCCGTATTATGATACACAGACCAGCACATTCACCTCCAGCCAGCCAAGGTGTTTACACAGACATTTGCTGTGGGCAGGGGTGGAACTGACCGGCATTGTCTGAGGGCCCTGGGTCAGTTGTGGGGCCCCATGAAATGCCCCTTGTACCTTTTATAGGCTTTTTTTGAGTGTGCTTTGAGTGTGGGCAAGGACACAGGGGCCCCATGATCCTCTATTGCCGAGGGGCCCCTATGAGTTGTCAGTCCGCCCCTGGCTGTGGGCCAGATAAAAATTTGAAGTGTGCTAAATGTGACCTATGGGCTGTAATTTGGAAACCCCTTGCTCTAGTCTAGTGGATGAGAACAAAGGTGACAATGGTAAGTCAACTGAAAAGCCAAGTTTGGTTGCTCAAACCTTTGCTAGGGATCAGTGGTAGATCCACTGGCCAGCACTAAAGGAGTGTTTAGTGGGGTAACCCTCTTTTTTGGATGAGTTGATCTTTATACCTATGGTAATTACAACTTGACTACCATCTGTTTATATTTCTAGAAGAATTACCACTGCCTACGCTGACCATGCTAGGAACTGAAGTGCTGAATCAATAAATACATTTGAAAGGCATTCTTCGCATTTCACAAACTGTTTTTATTGCCTGATTTGGCTGTCTGCCATTTGTATCACTTCCAGTGGCTGAAATGGGGCATTTCTTTTTGTTTTTGAAATTATTTTTAGCAGAACAATTTTCCATTCAAAGATTTTTTTTTTGTAAGTGCTAGGCACAGAGGAAAAAGAAGCACATTCCTGTCAGAACTGGAACTTACATTGTTTTGGTAGGAAAACATTTCCAATAGCAAAAAAAAAAAAAATAATTCTAAAAATACTCTAGAGCTACGTAGGCAGGGTCACTACAGGCCAAACTCATCAAATTAGAATCACATTTTGTATAAGCACAACTTGGAGACCTGGTGTAGACCGGCTTAATGGGATTTTTTGGAGGCCTTGTATATTAAAATCACACACAGTTTTATTGAACAATGCTGGAAAAGTGTGGCTGATTCAGGGGGTTATACAGGCTTGTGTCAGGCTTACAAATATGTACAAAACTGGAGTGGAACTACGGGGTCATGCTGGATGAAGCTTAGGAAAAAGTCAGCTTCAAATGAATTCTTTTTTTAGGGCTTATTCACACTAGGTGCGTTGAACTGCGATGATCAGCATTGATCAACAGAGGCTCAACACAATAAATATATAAAGTGCAGCGCTAAATCATAAGAAAGGCATCAAACAAAAAAGTTTGTTCAGATAATTCATGTAATAGTAGCCAAATAATAACACAGCTACATCAGATCCAGAAGAACTCGTTGAAGTAATGATAGAAATGCGCACTCACCGACCGCGCATAGGAAATGCACATTGATATGTAAAGATCAGCAGGTGCCGTTCTCCTGAAGGATAGGTATCATCTAATGGTGGTGGACTCAACTCGGAGGACCTCTTTAGGATCGGGTTGTATTAACCGGATGACTGTTCCCTCCTCTGGATACTGTATGCAGTGAAGGCTGTGTGTTGATCTAATACCCCTCAGAGTGGGGTCAGAAAGGGAGTACCAATAGTGTAGTATTTCCAAACTTTTATTGTGGTAATATAAAATTCAAAGATGCAGGTCAGTAAAACATAGCAAAAAGCCAGGAAGTGAATGATAAAAAGTTGTACAGACCTCCAATAAAATGGCCGCCGGACCTCCTCGTGGTCCCGAAAAACAGCCTTCACTGCATACAGTATTCAGAGGAGGGAACAGTCATCCGGTTAATACAACCCGATCCTAAAGAGGTCCTCCGAGTTGAGTCCACCACCATTAGATGATACCTATCCTTCAGGAGAACGGCACCTGCTGATCTTTACATATCAATGCGCATTTCCTCTGCGTGGTCGGTGAGTGCGCATTTCTATCATTACTTCAACGAGTTCCTCTGGATCTGATGTAGCTGTGTTATTATTTGGCTACTATTACATGAATTATCTGAACAAACTTTTCTGAACAAACTTTTTTGTTTGATGCCTTTCTTATGATTTAGCGCTGCACTTTATATATTTATTGTTCCAATGAAAGGTGTTTGTGATTCCCTCTAGTGCTTTTAGCTGCTTGCTTGTTTAGAAGAGCGCTCACTTTATTTTATACCTAGAGGCTCAACACAAGGATGCATAGAAAACAATTGTTTTCTATGTGCCCTGTTCATACAGTATATGTGCAACGCTGTGCGTTTGTTATGTAAAAATGCAGCAACACACATTACTGTATGTCAATCAAACACAGTGTATGGGTCCTTTCACACGGGCGTTCTGTTTTTTTTTCTTCAGTTCAGTCATTTTTTTTTCAAAGAAAAAACGGATGAGTTTTCATCCATTTCTATCTGTTTTTTCATCAGTTTTTTCATCAGTTTTTCATCCATTTTTCATCCGTTTACATTGATTTACATCCGTTTTTCATCCATTTAGATCCGTTTTCCATTTGTTTAGATCCGTTTTAAACCATTTACATCCTTTTTTGGTCCGTTGACATCTGTTTTTTCATCTGTTTTTTCATCCGTTTTTCATCCGTTTGCATCCGTTTTTTCATCCGTTTACATTGATTTACATCTGTTTTTCATCTATTTAGATCTGGTTTTCATCCGTTTACATTGATTTACATCCGTTTTTCATCTATTTAGATCCGTTTTTCATCCGTTTAGATCCGTTTTAATCCACAAGCATTCATTTTTGGTCCGTTTACATCTGTTGACATCCGTTTTTTCGTCCGTTCCGGGTTTTTTTTTTTTTTTTGCGGAAGAAAAACAGGGTTTTCTTTCATTCAAAAAAAGGATGTTAACGGATGCGGACATTAACGGATGTAAATAGATGTTCATCCGTTTACATCCGCAAGTCCATAGAAATACATGGGTGTCTGTTTTTTCATCCGTAATTGGACAGATGAAAAACGGACATACAGATGGGCGCATGCGCCAGAGGAGGATTCTATTTTGGCGCCGGATCGCGCCCTTATCTCTAATACTGTGGCGCGTGACGTGTGACGTGTGCTAATTGCGCACGCACCATCTTTTTGCTATAAAAGGACACTGCTTGACGTCTTGCACTGTAGGCATACCCCTATGAATACGTGCGGTTGCACGACACACATCAGGGAGGAGCTACAGTGCAGTGACGTCACACCGCCGACACCACGTGGGTCCCGGCGGCCATCTTGGTCAGTAGCTGTTACCTATATTCCTTATGCTTGCTGGTTAATAAAGTTTACTACAGTAATAGCAGTATCACGCTATTTGGCCTCCTTTTTTTTTCCTGGGGCTCTTCGAGAGCTTCCTGCCACCTGCAGAGCCATGGTTAAGGAAGTGAGTGCCATACCTGTTTACTGAGTGAGCAGAGACACAGCGGCAGACCAGACCATACCTCAGAGGGAATCCCATGTTTACCTTAAGAGGGGTTATCTCTTACATGCGCATACTGATTGTGCATCTGGTGAGTGCGCAGTCTCTTTACCAGTTTGGACACCATCATCTTTTAAATATACCATTAGGTCCTCGTGATCTTTTTAACACCATATCTACTGGGATATTGTGGACTGTACACTCGCATGTTATAACAGTCACAGCGCAGTGACACAGATACTCAATACATGTGTGGACTGTTCTTTTTGCACTTCATTTATGCACTATGGTGTGTTACTTATAGTTGTAATAGAAAACTAGTGAGCACACAAAGCCACGGATTGATTAACCATATATATTTATTTACTGTGCACCCTTTGTTCATCTAGTTTTTTTGAGGTTGTTGGTGCCTTTTGGTGTTTAGCAGCTGCAATAACCTTTAGCGCTCACTTATTATACTACGTGTGTACTATTGATTTACATCCGTTTTTCATCCATTTAGATCCGTTTTTAATCCGTTTAGATCCATTTTAATCCATATGCATCCATTTTTGGTCAGTTTACATCTGTTTACATTTTTTTGTCTGTTCCATTTTTTTTGCGGAAGAAAAATAGGGTTTTCTACCGTTCAAAAAAATGGATGTTAACAGATGCGGACATAAACGGGTGTAAATAGATGTTCATCTGTTTACATCCGCAAGTCTATAGAAATACATGGGTGCCCGTTTTTCATCCGTAAATGGACAGATGAAAAACGGACATACAGAACGCCCGTGTGAAAGAGGCCTATGTAAACATGTCGCAGTGCATGAAGTTAGATGAAATGACAGTGCATCGAGTTGTAATAGTGCATGCTTGTTTAGGTGAATGAGCCCTTAAGAAAGAGACATATTCCATATTTAAAGCCAAACTTTTTTTTTTTAATTTTTCAATAAAGTAAAAAGCTGCTATTTGGTGCAGCTTTTTTGTGTTGTCCATGTCACCATTTGTGAGATTTCCCTCACGTCCTATCCCAGTGATACCAAGACTAGAAATTAGATTGTGTGAGTGTCACAGTGAAGAAGACACAGACAGCAATTAAATCATGATGGATATTCTAACTAATCTCTACTAAATAAATGTGCTTTTTCTGTTGTCTCTGTCTCCGTCAGAGAGATATTTAATCACTTCCTGTTCTTGTGACAACGTGGACCCCATCTTCACCAAAGATATCGGCCCCAGCTCACCAGGCTGGCTGTTATCCCCATCACGACAGGGCTGAGAAAGAGGTGACCCCCAACCATTATGGTACCAGTTAATATCCGTGTTTCGGTTTGCTGTTCAAGTGCAGGAGCTGAAGAGAAAGCAAAGTAATGGAGGTGTGCTATTCTTTGGTTACTTTGCATTCGCTGGCATAGGGGGGAGTCATCAGGGACAATTGTTTCTCAGGGGGTAGATCCTTCAAAACGGGAAATGGGGACAGATAGCCAACCTCAGTGTACTGTCTTTTTATTAATATATCAGTATATCTGATTTTAGGGCCTGTGCCTGCAGACTTTTGTTTGCTTTAGGGTGGGTTTTGCATTCTCATACAGGTCTATGATAGAGTGAATAGAGTTCCCTGGTATCCAAGGACAGTCCCCAATTTTAGGAGGCTGTCCCCAAAAAAAAAGTGTTGCTGGACTTATTCCTGTTTTTTCAAATGGGCAGTGGGTGGCTCGGTTATTTACCTAGCAACTAACTGTCTGATTTTTCTGATTGGTTGTGTTTCCCTGGCGTAAGAGGGAGGGGTGGGTCTGCATTGGCTCCTGACTATGCTTGGGTCTCATGATGATGTCACATGGTCCAACCCCTGTCTTACAAGTAGGTGGTTAGGTGGTGGAGTGGATCCTGTTTTGCTGTCCTCACAATGCACACCTGGGCAGTCATATGTACCAGTAAGCTTCACTGGGTGACTGACGTAATATCAGCAAGGA